GGGGGGGGGGGGCGGCGAGCGGGGGGGGGGGGGGGGGGGGTAGCACAGCCAGAAAAGCGCGCGGTAAGCTCAGCGCTCGGCCAAACAGGGCAAGTCAGCGTTGGAACCGCAGACATGGGAGGGAAGACCAAACGTTCACCTCCCACTGGAGTCCCGGAGCCACGCACTGAGGTCAGTGCTGTGGGTGCCTGCTGCGTGCCGGTGCTGAGAGAAGGCCTGATGGAGGGTTAGGGGTGCCCACACCAGAGACGGCCCAGTCTCGCGCCAGCTCTGCTGCTCATAGGTCAGCTGCATAGCGGCCCCGGCCTCTGTGGGTGCAGGGCCGAACTCGGGTGTTGCGGCACTTTGCACACTGGAAGCCTGTTAAATGGCACCGTCGTTACCTGCTCGTTACTGCGCTGGGCATCTGGGGGCTCAGTGGCTATGCCATGAACACAACTTCACTCAGAAATGTCAGAAATGCTGGAATAACATGTCTGTCCTGGATTTGTTTGAAATGGGTGTTAAAAGGGGTTTAACAACATGAGCACAGCCAGAAAAGGGCACTTATAGTAGCACTTCTTCTGAGTTTAAAAAAAAAAAAAGTCTTTCAATTATCGGATGAATTGAAGTATAAAGAGAAACACCAGGATGCCCAGCGATGCCCCGGGTCCTTTAGGGTCCAGGCCCGTCTCTTCAGGAAAAGCCCATCTGTAATTAGATAACTGGACTTGGAAAGGAAAACCTACGCGTGTGTCTTCGGCTTTATAGCTTCCCGGTCACAGCCACGTGCATTCTCTGATTCCCTGGCGTTCTCTGATGCCGGCCAAGTGCCTGGCACTGTGCTCGTTGCTCACATACGTTGTCTCACTTGATTCTCATAACAGCCTCATGAGGGGGACGGTGACTACCCTCGTGTTACTGATGAGGACTCTGAGGCCAAGGCCAGGCTGGGGTGCACAGGAGGAGCAGCACCAACGCCCAGGCCTCCAGCCCCTGGGCCGGCCAGGACAGGGGGGTGAGCAGGGGGAGGGAGAGCCTGGCGTGCCAGAGGACACGGCACCGCTGTTCCCACCCTCCTGCAGGCCAGGGACCTACAGGAGGAGGCCCTCGCTCTCCCATAAGCCCAGGATTGCCGATCGTGACCTGATACTGTTTCATCACGTCTGCTGAGAAACAGGACCATGTTCGCCGTGGGCATGCAAGGCTCTGTTTGTTCATTGCTGGCTCCAGCTCCATCGTCGGCCTGGCCCGCAGTCAGTATTTGTCTTGAAAACGACGGTGTGGGCTGTGGCATCATACCCGTGTGTTCCTCACCAGGTCCCAGCATCTCGTGTTGACTCATCTCCCGTCTGCAGACTTGCTGGCCATTTGGAAACGGATGCGGAGGAGTGAAGACTGGGAGGTGTCAAGTTGTCACTGAGACATGTCTAATTGGCGACGTGTGGTTTTAAAGCCAACTCTCTCCCCCTGGTTTCCCTGTTTTCCGCAGCACCCCTCGTTAAGACGTTTTCTGCTCCCATCACGCTGGCAGGGCCTGCGTCCTGAGTCTCCTGGGTGTGTCCTAATTGCCCATCTCGGCACCTCGTGAAAGCCCCCTCGCCTCCAGTGGTCACGGTGGAAGGATCATGGGAGAAGCAGAAGGGAAGAAAGATGAGGCTGATTATAAACGCCTGCAGACCTTCCCTCTGGTCAGGGTAAGCCCCAGCGAGGGAGGCAGGGGGCCAGGGGCCCACGCAGCCTCGGAGGGAGGCGAGAGGCAGTGGGGGAAAGTGAGGAGGAGGGCTTGCTGGCTCAGAACTAGAGATTTAGAAGTCAGCGGTACTTCATTCATTCATTCATCCATCCATCCATTCATTCAACAAGTATTTATTGAGGCCACCCTGCATATCCTGGGCTGTTCTAGGCTGTGGATATACTTGTGAACCAGACCGAGGAGGCCTGGCCCGCAGGAAGGAAAGGTTTCAACAACATAGTTTCCGTTCCTGAGTGAGGGGAGAGGAGCTTTATGGGGAAAAGCGGGGTTGTCTTTTTGACATTGGAGTGCGGTTGTCAAGTAGGCAGTTGGATGTAGGAGTCTGGAGCCCAAAAGAGAGATTAAAACTGGGGGTGAAATTGTGGGACCCCTCCCCAATATAAGATAAGTAAATCCACGGAACAGGCTAGGCCAGTGGTCGGCAAACTCATTAGTCAACAGAGCCAAATATCAACAGTACAACGATTGAAATTTCTTTTGAGAGCCAAATTTTTTAAACTTAAACTATATAGGTAGGTACATTGTTATTAACTTAATTAGGGTACTCCTAAGGCTTAGGAAGAGCCACACTCAAGGGGCCAAAGATCCGCAAGTGGCTCGCGAGCCGCAGTTTGCCGACCACGGGGCTAGGGCCCGGGAGAGGAGAGAATGAAGAAGAGGGAAGGGTGGAGCCAAGCCCAGGCCCCCAGCGCTGGGACTGGGAGGGGATCCCGCCAAGTGGACTGAGAAGCGCAGCTGAGAGGCAGAGAGAAACCAGGAGCCACGAGGCTGCGCTGTCGGCTCCGGCTCCGGGGTGAGGGCAGCTGTGTCCGAGGGAGGCTGCCCGTGAGCCATTTTCTGAGCTGGATTCACTCCTGCCTGGGCGGCCGCCTCCCACGTCTGTTGGCTGCACATGGTGCGACGAGGCTTCCAGAAGGCAGAAGGGCCTGGGCCTTAGAGCCGCGTGGCCGCGCCCCCAGTTCCCAGAGGAGATGCCAGGGCTCAACCCAGTGTCCGCGCCTTAAGCTTGGGACAGAGAGGCCAGCCGAGCCCCGGCTACGGGCTCAGCTCTCTCTGTTTGTCGCCCTGCCCGTCTCTAGCACTCGGACATGCCAGAGGAGATGCGAGTGGAGACCATGGAGCTGTGTGTCACGGCCTGTGAGAAATTCTCCAACAACAACGAGGTATTGCCATTGGTGCAGGTGCCCCTCGTGCCTTTGGTGACCCCGTGGGTGAATCAAGTACCCTCCAGAGGGTCCTGCGGGGGCAGGCTAGAGCATCCGTAGCTGGGGCAGGGCGGTGAGGGCAGAGGCTAGCGCTGGCTGTGGGCACTGTTCTGGCAGTCACGCCCAGCCCTCGAGGGAGAAAAGCCAGAGGGGTCCTGGTGACGCCCCTGCCGCCTGCCCTGTCTCAGGGGGGCTGCTGGATAGGGCACCTTCCCTTGGCTCCGTGCCAGGGGAGAACAGGCCCGCCCAGGCATTCATTCGCATATCCATTCATCCATTCAGAGGGTTACACCCATCTCCTGCCGGCACCGTCTGCGTGCTGCTGGCACGGCCAGTGGGCATCCACACGGGATTGGTGTTACCAGTGGCTATAAGTGCTGAGAGAGAGAGAAGTTAGTGTCATGGCAGCCGGCGGGGAGGCAGACCCTGGCCAATCCCATCTCCAGCCCTTCCTAGCTCTTTAACCTTGGATGGGCCATTTCTCATCTCTGAGCCGTTTCCTAGTCTAGATCTGGGCAGTGGTGAGGATGTGTGCACTGAGGTGATGCGGACCAAGTGATCACATGGCACCTGGCACTGTGGTGGGTGCTACTGGTGCCCAGCAGATGCCCGAGCCTGGGACTTGTCGCACAAAGACTGGGCCCTGCCCTTCCCTAGACCCCTTCTTGAAGGAGTGAGCACAGGAAGGAGGGGGCTGTGGCGTGACGGAGGGGCGCAGTCCAGCACCCCTTCTGGGAGCCACGAACCCTCTAGGGAACAGCCTTTGTGTCCCTGCAGGTAGCCCGACGCCTCGCAGTGACGGTAATTTCCTGTGCAGTCAGCCTTCTGGGTGCTCTGGGCCTGTGACTCACAGTCCTGAGAACAGCCTGGTACTGACCCAGAAACAGAGCTGACCAGGACTCTGTGTCCAGCCTGAGGCCTGCTCTGCCCCCTCGGCCATCTTCCTGACGGGGAAGGCGATCTGGGCCTCTGCCCTGCGTGGTGGCCGGCGGGAGGGGGCCTCCTGGCACAGTGGTGGTTCCGGGGCAGGACAGCAGGACCAGGCGGCAGGCCTTCTCCTGCCAAGACTTCCGCTTCCCACAGAGGGAGCCGACGCTGTGCCCTGCACCCCCCTAACGAGCACCTCCTCGTTCCAGAGTGCCGCCAAGATGATCAAAGAGACGATGGACAAGAAGTTCGGCTCCTCCTGGCATGTGGTGATCGGCGAGGGCTTCGGGTTTGAGATCACACACGAGGTGAAGAACCTCCTGTACCTGTACTTCGGGGGGACGCTGGCTGTGTGCGTGTGGAAGTGCTCCTGACACTGTCCCTGCCCTGCCCCCGCCCTGCAGGGCTTTCCCCTGCCCCTCCTCCGGGTGGGGAGCAGCCCAGGCAGGGCCGAGTTTTCTGGAGAGCGTGGGGTCTTTCTTTTGTCCTGTGTACCCGTGTCCTGAGCCAGGCCCAGTGTGTGAATTTATCGACATCTCTCCCCCCAGGCTCCCAGCCATCTCACTCTGAGTCCCAGGGTGTGAGGGGCAGCAGGCAGTGGTCTCCATGCAGGGAGGCCGGGGGCATGTGACAGGGTAGGAGCGTGGGGAGGTGGAACTTCTCTCACGGGAACATGCCAGCCCCACGTCTCTCGGGGCTACACCCCTCGCATCCGGGAGCCCCTGCCTTCCACCCCAGGGCCGCTGGCAAGTGACCACTGCCCTTGTCTTTATGAACCGTATGCAAATGGCCCCAGGAAGGAGCCTCCCTTCCAGGGGCACCGGCAGCTTCTCTCCTCGTCCTCCGTCCTCCGTCCTCCGGGGAAGTGGGGACTCCCCAGAAGCCCCTTCCCTGAGCTGGCCCCAGGCTGAGCACCACTGCATCTCATGGGCCCCAGCTTCAGCCTGCAGACCAAGCAGCCTCTCCCCCACCCACAACCGCCAGGCTTCGTCCACCTTTTCCACTGCCCCCAGCCTGCAGCTGAGGGTTGGGAACTGCTGCCCGGCAGTTTCTCGAGGTGTCACTGAGCCTCCAGCGAGCCGCCTGGGCCAGGAGTGCCCTCGCCGGTGGCCCATCTCAGCAGGGAACCTGGCCTGCCAGTTACTTCTCATCAGGGACCACATGTTGATTTGTACTTCTTCTCTCTGTGGGTTTTCTATATTCTTTTTGAGTGTGGGGAGAGTGCTTTAGTAGAAGGATGAATCCTATTTTACATAGCGGTCTTATTTATATAAATGTCTTGGTTTTTACAATTAAAATGGCCAAAAACTGACTCCATCTACAGCCTCTTGAGGTTGGGGGAGACGTGTTCAGGATCCTCAGAGTGTGGTGTGTCCCAGGCACCGAGAGGCGTCTGGCCAGACAGCGAGGCCGCTGGAACCCTGTGCCCTGCACAGCCCCTGGCCCTGGCCCTGCCCAGTACCTCTGGGGTTCGGGCTGAGTGCAGTTCGCTGGGGCCATGTGGACACTGACTGGGATGCCCTTGGTGGCCAGACTGAGCTACTATCTAGATGTTTTCAGTCTCGCATGATTTAACTCAGTTCAAAGATGTTTATTCCACAGCTGTCGCGTGCCAGGCCCCAGGAGTGCAGATGCAAAGATGGAAAAGCCACAGAGCTCGCCCTCTGTGAGCTCATAGTTGGTCAGGAAGGAAGACTAAACCCAGTCACCCAACCGAATGGAAACTGACGTGATAAAAGTTAGGACGGGGGCATTCTGGGAGGAGGAAGGAGGGGCTGCACACCCAGCCCTGTTCTGTTTTCCCTTTGTTCTCCTCATCTGGTATTTAAAGCAACCACCTCCCACTGCCAGCTGCTATCTTTCATCCTTAGAAAGGCGGGGGTGAGGGTGGGGGTGGGGGTGAACCGGAGGCAGATGACCTGAATTGGTATTAATAATATTCTCAAACTATTGGGTGCCCCAGGTGTGCCAAGCACTTCACTGAGCCTCTTCCAAGCTCTGCTCGTGACTGCTTACATTCACTCTGTGAGATCAGTGTCCCCCGCCCTTGTTCAGACGAGGGGTGAAGTCCAGAGCGGCTCCGCTCCGGGCCACACAGCCACTGAGTGGCAGAGCCAGGATTCATCACAGGCCAGGCCTGTGACCCCGAGCCCCCGCTCTACACCCCCTCCAGGGTCAGCCTGCCAGCTGGGACAAGCCACTTGCTCCTCAATCATCTCAGTTTCTTCAGCTGCAAAACAAGGTTCAAAGCTCCTCCCTGTCTCCTTCCCAAGGTTCCTGTAGGGCGCTGGGGAGGTGGTGGCCACACATGGGTCAGGGTCAGTCTGGGGAGCCATCCCCCGGTTTTGGGGATGGTCAGATGGATGGATGGATGGATGGATGGATGATGGATGGACACATGGATGATGGATGGGTGGGTGGATGGATGGATGATGGATGGATGGATGGATGATGGATGGATAGATAGATGATGGACAAATGGATGGTGGATGGGTGGATGGATGATGGATGGATGGATGATAGACGGACAGATGGATGGTAGATGGATGAATGGAGGACAGATGGCAGATGGATGGATGGATAGATGATGGATGGACAGATGGATGATGGATGGGTGGGTGGATGGATGATGGATGGATGGATGGATGGATAGATAGATAATGGATAGACAGATGGCTGGTGAATTGATGGATGAACAGATGGATGGATGGAAAAGTCTTTTCTAGGAAGCTTCGAGCAACAGGGTACATGAAGCGGGCACTCCTCTTTTCCCCCATCTCGCTGAATGCTGCATAGACCATTGGGCACTGGAATGGCTGGAGACGGCCAGTCCCTGCCATTCCACAGTGTTCCCTGCCCACTGTGACCTTGGCCACAAACAGGCTGGGGGTGCCAGGGAGAGGCCTCAATGCCCAGATTGCCCGGAGGGCATCTCGAAGGCAGTGACATTTGAGCTGGGCCTGAAAGGGATTTCCTTAGGCCCCAGGGAGGTGAGGAGGGGTCAGGGCATAGCAGCCAAAGGAGCTGTGGGTGGGGAGTGGGCAGAGCTGAGGCTGGGGCTGGGTGGGGCACACCCCTGCTGCCAATCAGAGGCAGGGAACCCTGGAGGCTCCTGGCAGGATTCGATGCCATAGAACCAGGAACACAAGTCTCCTTTCCCGGCTGGAGGGCTGACGGGAGGCAGCCAAGGGCCAGTCGCCTGCTCTGCTGGTCAAGCATGAGCTGGGCTGTGAGCTGGGGTACAGGCACCAGGAGCCGCCTCCTAGCCCACCTCCCACTCACATCTTTTCATATATTCATATATA